ATATATATATATATAATGGTGGCTATAAGGCTTTGGATATCACCTACCTATGATGTATGGATAAAATGTTATGGTAAATAATGAGTTCCTTGGGAATAGATGGTGTTGGGAAACAATCAAGACCGACATCATTTAAACAAGAGGATAGATATGAATTTATATACATACAATAGTTTCCATTGTTAATAAGCCTTTTGAACGATGACCAAGAGCAAAACCATGAAGACTTAGGTCCAAAGTGAATAATATCTTACCAATATAGAGACATGTATTTGTGGAAAGCCCTCAGTGCATAACAATTAGTATTAGAGTCATTGGTTCAACCAAGTGACCGACTCGACAAGTATGATGTAGTTGGTAGGTAGATTCGGGTATTGGATCCCTAATGTAAAAAATCTTCCTAATGGTGGGTCCATATGTGGAAGAAAGTCTTCTTGGTAATATTGAGGGTTAATAGGCATGTCCACATTATTGTGAGTTAACAATGGAGTGACGGTGTAAGTACTTAGAGCGTGATTGAATTCTATAAGCCACCATTAGATATACTCATGATCTAGTCGCTTTCATTGAAAAAAGGAGTTAAACCATGATCTTTTGTTTGAGGGGAGGATTGTTAGGATACAATCAATGTTCCATATCGTTCAAACAAAAGGATGGATATATGTTTATATACATACAATAGTCTCCATTGTTAATAGGCCATTTAGGTGTGACCAAAAGAAATATCATGAGGGCTTAGTCCTAAAATGGACAATATCTCACCAATGTTGAGATATGTGTGTGTGAAAACCCCCTGGTGCACAAAAATTGGTATCAGGGTCACTGGATCAACTAGGTGACCAAATCAATGAGTATAATGTAGCTAGCAAGTGGATCTAGGTATTGAATCCCTTGTGTTGAAAGTCTTCCTAGTGGTGGGTCCATATTTGAAAGAGAGTCTTCTTAATAACATTGAGGATTAGGAGGCATGTCCCACTAATGATGGAGTGGAAGTGTAAGTACTTAGAGTATGACTAAGCTCTATGGGCTACCATTGGATATACTCGTGAACTGATGGCTTCTACCTCAAATGAAGGTTAAACCATGGTTCTTTGTTTGAAAGGATGATTGTAAGGATACGACCAAAATCTCACATTGTCCAAAAAATAGGATGGCATGGGTTTATATACATACAAATTTTCATAGATAACAGGCCTTTTGGGTGATGACAAAAAGTAAAACCATGAGCGCTTATATCCAAAGTGGACAATATCTTATCCATGTGGAGACATGTGTGTGAAAACCACCCAATGCACAATAATTGGTATCAGAGTCATTAATTCGACGAAGTGACTAACTTGACAAGTATGATGTAGTTGGCTGTGGATCTGGGTATTGGATTCCTTGTGTTGAAAGTATTCCTAACAGTGGGTTTATATATGGAAAAGAGTCTTCTCAGTAACATTGAGGTTTAGGAGGCACGTCCTACTATCTTGAGTTAACGATGGAGTTATGGTGCAAGTACTAGAGCGTGAATAAGCTCTATGGGCCACCATTGAATATATTCATGGACTGATGGCTTCCACTACAAATAGGGGTTAAATTATGATGCTTTGTTTGAGGGGAGTATTATTGAGATACAACCAAAGTTTCACATCATTCAAACAAGTGAATAGACATGGGTTTATATACATACAATAGTCTTCATTGTTAATAGACCTTTTAGGTGATGACCAAAAGTAAAACCATGAGGACTTAGGCCCAAAGTTACAATATATTTCCAATATGGAGACATATGTTTGTGGAAATCCCCTAATACACAATTGGTATTAAATTTGGTGGTTTGACAAGGTGACCAACTCGATAAGTATGATGTAATTAGCAAGTGGATTTAGGTATTGGATTCCTTGCATCAAAAGTCTTCCTAATAATGAGTTCATATATGGAAGAAAGTTTTATTTGTAACATTAAGGATTAAGAGGTGTGTCCTACTATCGTGAGTTAACAATGGAGTGATAATGCAAGTACTTGGAGCATGACTGAGCTTTATGGGCCACCATTAGACATAGTCGTGGACTGATGGCTTCTGTTGCAAAGGGAGGTTAAACCATGGTCATTTGTTTAAGGGGAGAAATTTTGGGATACAAATAAAATATCACATTATTCAAACAAGAGGATAGACATAGGTTTATATAATACAATAGTCTTCATTTTTAATAGGCCTTTTGGGTGATGACCAAGAGTAAAATCACGAGAACTTAAGCCCAAAGTGAATAATATCTTACCAATATGGAGACATGTGTATGTGAAAACCCCCAGTGCACAATAAACATAATGAAAGAATGTGTGTCTAAACAACTCTTTGGTTAATTCCCTTTTTTCTTTGCCTCCATTAAAATATAATTGGGTATTTGCTACTATAAGTCTAAAATACCAATATGACATTATATGATTTTTAAAAAAGTGATTTCCAACTATGATTGTGAATGAAATTTTAAATTGTGAGTGTAATTTGTGATAGTTGATGAAATAAATTTAATATAATATTAATAATTTCATTTGCAATGTAAATTATTTTTATAAGGAAGTTTTGGGTGATCTTTCAAACACTAGCTTTGTTTCTCTTGAAATAAAATGTCAAAGAGCAAATATCATCAAACACCATTTTAGTATAATGTAAATAATTTTAACAATAACAAAAACCTTATTGGAACTTAAGCCCTTTTGTGTTTTCTAGCAAATTACTTTTGTGTTTTGTAGTTTTATTAGACTTCACACAACTGAAAATACCTATATAAATAAAATAAAAGTGTACACCTCAGCAAAATCAATTCCCAATTCCATTTCTTTTATTGAAGTTGTGACTTCCAACATCCATGTTGTTGGATTATAGGCATCTTTAATCTTATTTACACCATGGATTCCCTTCAAGATGAATGTGTGACATGAAATAAATATTTACATGAAAAAAATGATTTGAAGCAAAATATGATTTCAGTATTCCTTATTTCTCATAGCATTTTTCTACCTCAAAGTAACTAATTAAATGGGAAGAATGATGTCCAAGTGGTCCCACATATAACTCTTGCCCTCCTTGCTTCATTAGCAAAAGTTGCATTTCATTGTGACAAAAAGGTTAAAAACTCAATAATGGAAAAGAGCAAACTAGAATTGTTACATTGTTTTTTTTTTGTTTAACCTCATTAAAATATTTAAATATGTTTATGCTAGGCTGATGGATGGTACAAACAATTGTTCCTCAAGTATCTATTGTGTTCCTAATTGTTCTCAAGACAATAGTTGTAGCTCTTGCATTTATTCCAAAAGTAAGCTCGTCCATGAATATTATAAAAGGATTTGCCACAAGTTCAATAGCAAAAATTAACCTTTTGCGTTGCTCTAATGAGAGACCATTAACACTGGAAAATCCAACTAATAATTGTCTTAGTGGTTTCATTTCCACAAGTTCCATGACTTATTTAATGAACATTTGAAACCATTAATCATTTTCAAACTTAGTAACATTGACTAAACATGCAAGTTTTATTTTTCTTTGTAAGGCACATAAAATTTGTTTCCTTGTGTTTTTTTAATGA